TATCTTGTTTGTCGATTTCTGTTACAAAATCCTGAAACTTTGGAATTAAAGGCCACCTCCGCCTTCCATTCTTACATGCGAGTGAATTGGTTATCTTAGTGATTTGGGAGAAAAGATCAAGGTCAGGTTTTTAGCAACCTCCAGCAAGGAATTCAACGGAGACCTTGATCTTCACCTTAAAGGTTAATTGATAATCAACTTTATTTTTTCAAATAGAAACCCCTATTTTATATGCTAGCAATCCAAGGAACAGAATATTTTACAAAGGTCAAATGAAGATCAACTGAGTGCTGCTAGGAAAACCTCTATAAATCACACAAGATTAGTGATGAAAATAACTATCATGGTCAGGTCGTTTGTGAATTCTGGATGCTGACCTTGGATTTGACCTTAACCCTCACCTTCAGGGTTATTCAAAAGCCAACCTTGTTTTGTTTTGATGAAAATCCCTATTTTCGATGCCATCAATCAGAAAAGCGAAAAATTTTACGTTCAAATAAGAATTGATATCTAAGGTCAGGGTGCCATCCTAAGGTCAAATGTGTGCTGCTAGGAATACAACTATGAATCTCAAAGGATCAGTAATGAAAACAACTATCAGGGTAAGGTATTTGTCAAATTGGTGGCTGAACGGTGATCTTGGATTTGACCTTGATCTTCACCTTCAAGGTCATTTTAAGGTCAACTCCTTTTTTTTATGCCTGCAATCGAAAGAGTGGGAAAATATTACGTCCAAATACGAACGGAACACCAAAATCATGGTGGTCACTGACGGTCAAATGTGTGCTGTTAGAAAAACTTCTAGAAGTCTCACACGAATAGTGACGAAAATAACTGACACGGTCAGATCTTTAGCCAAGTGGGAAATTCGGTGCTCCTTACAAATGATTTTCAACCGATACTGCTTCTGCGGGTTCCTATTTGAAAAAAGATGACCTTGAAATGATATTGAAGTGAAGCTCAAGGTCAAATCCAGGGCACTCGTCAAAATTAACTGCAGACCTGACCCTGATAGTTATTCTCATTGCTCAGCCTGTGAGTTTATAGAGATTTTCCCAGCAGAACACATTTGACCTTAATTTGACCTTTATTAGTCATCCTGACCTTGGACATTAATTGTATTTTAATGTAGAATATTCTGTTCCTTCGATTTCCGGAATCAAAGACAGGGGGTTCGAAAAAATAAAGTTGACCGTAAATCAACCTTGAAGGTGAAGGTCATGGTCAATTTCAAGGTCATCGTTGAATTCTCTGATGAAATTTACTAAACACCTGACCTTGATCTTTTCCGAGAACACCTTACTCGAAAACATACAGACTTTTGTGTCACGCTGATATATAATATATATCTTGGAACATTGTTCTGGTTTAACATGTGATGCTTCATTTTAAAACTATTTATCAGTATCTCAAAGCCCTAAGGTATAAATTCACTACCATTCAGAATGGCGGACTGTCATAGTTGAAAGTTGAGAGTTTTTGTGCAATGGATTGTTTTCAAACTTGTAACTCAAGAGTAAATTTAGACAGATGGCAAACTCAAAAAATAATTTTCAACTTAGTTTTTAAGCACGAAAATATTCTTAATATTTTTTAAACATTGAATCGCTTATAAACTCGATAATGGTTCACTTTAGGAGCACACCACGTGAAGCAGGCATCGAAAAAGAAGTAAGGTTTCAAGATTTGTTCATATTGGGCCTGTATATAGATCTCGTAGGTGTGAAATAGAAAACACGATTTTTTTTCTTTGCCAGTTAATTTGATGAGCTTTGGGCTTTGTAAGAATGACCGTGCACTACATTGGGCGTAGGAAATATTCTGTTTTTGTTGGCTTTTCTTCACCTTGGAACACCCAAACAGCCGACTGTCGTTTATTTTCTGGTTATTAACAGTGAATCCACGATTCATCATCACTAACAATGCTGTACACATTTTTGAGTTTCAGGAATTGAAACGTTAAAGCGTTTTTTGACACCAATTAACCCTGGCTGCTTTCTCTTCTTCAGTCAACAGGTGGGGTATCCAACGAGAAACTAATTTTGTTACTCCTAATTCTTCATGTAAATTGTTTTGAATTGAGGTCTATGAGATCTTCAAGGACGCCTCATTCTCGCGATATGTCACATGTCTATCTTCAATTATGAGTTTGCGCACAGCATCGCCGTTTTCCTGGGTGACTACCATTTTTGGTCCACCCACCCTGGGATCGTCGCTAAGACTCACCCGGCCACGTTTGAATTCTCCATACCAACGGGAAATTGTTGACTGGTGTGGCGCTTCGTTGCCAAAAATAGACAGTAACTCAGCAAGGCATTCTTGTTGCGATAATTGTCTCTGGAAGTTGTAATAAATTATGGCGCGAAAATGTTCTCGGTTGAGTTCCATTTTTCTAATGTCTTGGTGACACTTAAAAATTCACTGTAGCGAGAACACTGCACGTATTGTTGTGAAACTTTGAATTTAAGTTTACTAAGGAGTGAGGTAAAGATTCAAAAGATATCCCTCGTACCGTACTCCAGTTCAGAATATTGAAGAATTGCGTGACCGGATAACAGTGGCTTTCGATAATTTGTGTTGTCAGGCACAGCAGGAAGGAGGTGTAGAAGCATGCATTGCAGTCAATGGAAACAACTTTGAACAGCTTTCATAAGTAAGTGAACTGTTAAACTATATTATTTTATTATCTCGATTTCTGTAGGACTTTTACTACATTTTTTTGAGCTAAATCAACTTCTTTCGTAACAGTGTGGTTAAGTTGTGAAACACCCTGTATATTTTAAATGTATATTGGTAGGTGCCAAGTGCCTATTTTGAACATTAAACCTCTTCCAAGAATATTTCAGACTCAGTTTATATTAAAGCAGCTTTTTACTTTTCTCAGTAGACCAACAAATGGCGAGCTTTTGACGTTCGCAGACTGTACCGTTATGTAATAACCCTGCCAGGCACACTGGGGTATAAAACATGCAAAACAAAATGTCGGCTTGCTGCAATAGAGAGAAAATTATGTGGCGCATATATGCATACAAAGGTCCATGTCGCTGCATTGTGGGGCTTTTTCAATTGTTGTTCGTGTGAGTTCTGGGGAATTTGTGTTTCCAGTCATAGTGGACATGTAGGCGAACTGGTATCGGTCTGAAATTAAACATAGCAAATATTTGCGTATGCGGGTATGAATATTCTATATGCATAGGAATTCATGGTCTGGCAGAAACAAACAAACATATATGCTTTAATTTCTGTTTATGGTACGTTTAAGAGCTAATGACCCATTTTGCAAATGACAAACTTCTCATAACAATGAAAAATGTTTTACAGAGTACCAGAGACATTATGTATCATAACTGCTTAGTTTAAGTAGATAGCCATCTCCTTGTCACTTAGTTATGTTTATACAAAATATATCGAACAATAATACACGGTGAAGTGATCTTGTAAAACCTTCAACAAGCGCCATCAATTTGAGTTCTGAACGTTACATCGTTCTTCACAAAGGCTGCAAGCAGTGGTAGCCAAAAAGAAGATAAAAATTTGTTTTTGAAACAGTGCCCATTTACTTGTCACTAAATTCAACCTAAATAAAGTATAGGAATCACACATGTATGAAGAGGTATGTCATGTAAATTAACATCATTTAAGCTCTCTTTCACAATAATTGCTATAACAAAATCTATACATCTTACGAGGATATGAGGTAACGTGAAGTACGAAGTAAGTACGCCTTTTCATAATAAAGGGTCTTTCCAGTAGCTTTAAAAATTATTGTTGCAAACAGTATATAGTGAGTGGAAAAGGAAAGTAAAGCTATTTAATTAACTGAAGCAACAATATAAAAAATTAGAAACAGTCAATCACAAACTACGAATTAGACGCGACGTCAGAAAAACACATCACCACAGAATACGACCAGGGGCACATTGGTACAAAATTCAACCTTCGTAGAATGTTTTAAGTTCTTAAGTGAGATGAAACTTTGTAATTTGGAGGACGTTATGAAAACTTAGAATTGATCTGTAAACTGCTGGTCTAGGAGTAGCCACAAATATTTGAATGGATATGAATATTCTTTTATTCAACAAAGTAATAGAACACTCCTTACCTAGTTTGAGAAGTGAACATTTATTTGGCAAGTATTTTTATAACTTTTATAATAATGTGCTAGATAAATAATGCCCCTCTCAAACAAAAATATTCGTGTTTATATCACGAACATGACGTTTCCAACATATTTAACAAAATAATTAAAAATATCTAGCTTGGTCTAAATTTTGGTTGGTTGTGACTATCTTTTGTTAACATTGAAACCTATTTCTGATACGCTGATTTGGTGTATTCAAGAAGAATAGCTACATAAGAAACTATACTTAACTTTAGACGTTAGACTTATAGACTGGAGGCGAAGTAAAAAATGTCGACCATGAAGTAAGTTAGGACACTGCCCAGGAAATGAATTTCAGGTACTGCGCATAGGACATCTCTCTGTCGCTGTCATCATGACCGTAAACAACTTCAATTTTGACAGTTTGGACGAGTTGCCCACGAAGTAATAAGCCTATAAAATTTGACGAAACGTTAGTGAAATGCACATATAAATATTACGGCAGGTTGTTTTGACGTTCTATGACATCTACGTCCACTATATTTCCGAGAGCAACGCCTTCCATGGCGAAAGAACTGGCTTCAGATGAATACGAGTGTCCCTTATTCGTAATTGTTACACCGACGTAATGGAACTGTCAGAATATAATTTCAAGTGTCGTTCTCTGTTTGTCTAGGTGCTTTGTTTTAATACCGGAACCGCACGCTTGCCAAATCGCCGCAAATCGGCACAAACGCAAACGTGCTGATAGAGCGTTTGGCTTGGTTTGCGTAGGTTTGGAAGCGCTTAGAGCCGATCCGATCGGGTTTTTTGGTCGCAAATCAAAAGGAGTTTGCCACAAGCGTTTGTGACACATCCATACGTTTGTGCGCCTCAATCTCGCTTATGCACTGGTGGCGAATGGGTGTAAGCTTTGCAACAATAATCTGGGTCCAGTTGGATAACAACAAGGTGAGTTACTGGTTGAACGAAGAGATTTTGAACTTCCTGGAGCGGTACCAAGGAGAAACGTGCATTTGGGACACAGGCCATCCGGATCACAAAGATAACAAAAAAAAGCTGGCGCATGGAGTCGCCTTAGCGCATCATTTAGTAAATCACTATTTAGTTAATACCTATTAAATTAAAAACACAAATGTTATTACTCATAATGTCAGCCCCTTAAATGTTGGATGTGATAGGTACTATTTTTGGAACTAAATATCAATTTCATTAAAACAAATACCATTTACCTGGTACGATTCATATGAATATTTAACATCCACCACCTTCTTGGTCGTACTTTTCGTTTTATCTGACTGTTTTTTGATTTTATAATAAAAATAGCTTAAGCCAAATGATACCGCAGACACAAGTTCGACGTCCGTCATGTTTGCCTGCTGCCTTTTCACTGATGCACCCGCACACGTGTGGACGGCCACGTTTGCTTCTTCAAAAAAAAGGCGAGCGTTTGTAGGGGTTTGGAGTTTGCGGCAAATGGCAAGCGTGCGGTTCCGGCCTCATATCATTATTTACACAGGGTCATGCAGGGGGTGTAAGTTATATACAAATATTTGTACCCCGCTTTGAGTGGCATCTGATGACTGCTACGAACACTAATGGCATCTGACTGTTTTTCATTTTATAACTATAGGTTATGATTTGTTCATTCAGCAGTTGCTAATCCTTATCCTAGGTGGCACAGCATAAATTATTTTTTCAAACAGTAATATTATTAAATTTTATGGAGGCATAGGCCATGCACCTGATACAAGATAGAGAAACCGGAATCTCCGAACACTCTAGACCTAGAAGCTGTCTACAGGAACCTGAAAGGCGAGCATTCGGGCCTGTTGAAGGAATGCGCAGCCGCAAGAACTCAACTAATAGAATGCGATAAAACTACTACTCGAGCAACATATCATCAAAGTAGAAGATAAGAACAGGAAAAGATGCCGACAGCATATGACCTGGCAAAAAACCATTGGCGTACCATTTTTTTCTTAAAGACTATCGAAGTCAATACCTGTATGCACGCCACTGTTAAAGATAAAAATTGTTTGTGCATTGAAAAATATGCAAATTTATTAACTTTCACTACGTACTAAATATCAGTGAAATATCTGAAGCGATTCTGAAAATATTAATTAATTTCCATTTTTTTCCTAAAACTTCAACACCCCGAGTCTTTGTAAGGAAACATTTTTGGACCATAGTACATAAAGCAACCTAACATTAATTTTTCATGTAGATTCACATCCTTAAATATTCGCATATCATTAAGGAACACCCTGTATAATACATTTATGCGCAATACATATTTTATAGAATACATTTGTATACATATGAACTAGACATCTTTATAAATATTTTATATTATTTTCAAACCACCTACATAAGTGTGTAACAAGTTTTAATAAGCAAGTATAGTCTGTCCTGCTTTTGTTTGGTTCAATAAGGGCGTCGATGTTGACAATTGGATGAAAATTTGAAAACTGTATGTTTTAATGGCTAATTCCTATAACGAATACATATTTTTGCAACATGTATGTACATGTGCTTATAAGTCTAGTGTAACCCGAGTATAACAGAGGCAGCAAACGTCACTAATCAGAATCCTGTAAACAATCATCGTTTTAGTTTCGTTTGTTATGGGTTAGTGTTCGGTGCAATCGTCAGATGGCGCTGTTAACAGTGGTACTAGGATTCATAGGAGAGAGCGTTGTCTGCAGTGTAGCTAATAATCTGTGGTGACGTAAAAGCTGCTTGTCATTGGAGGATTGCCGTCAGCAATGGCGATTTCTCGGGTTAGTTTTGATAAAATATTAACAAAGCAGGTAGGAGGTAATGGCTGAAAATATTCAGGTAACCATTCAATGTCGAGTCGGTTATTTTGCGTTCCAGCTTATTCCCGAGTACGATGCGCTACTTAGCAGCTCGAAACGTGAAAATAACATCGCAGTAATGGATTTTGCTTCCGGTAACTTCCGGTAAAGGGTTATTAATTGTTCGCCAAGATACTGTAATCATATTTCCATTTGCAGCCACTTCACCTTTAACCTTTGAGCTTGCCTGGAATCTATTAGCAATATATTCCAGTGATCCCAGATGTGCATTGAGGGCAAGCATGAGTAGTTTAGAGCACATCATGTAAATGATTGAGTTTATGGAGAAATGAGCCACAACAGGCTTTATATATCAGGATATCTAGAATTTGAGGAAAAATGTATTGTAATGACAGCATATAAAGAGACCCCTCATCCAGAGAGAAAGAGGGAAATTCTGTTGGGCGTCACTTTTTTTATTGAGCCCCAATGTTGGAAAAATCACTTTTTCGCGGATATTCATATTTGGTGTAAATGGTTCAAAAAAAGTTATTGGAGATAAAAGTACGTTGAAAATTAGACCTCACTCGGTCCATCTGCTATAATCGTTGCTTTGTTATTAAAATTTGCCAAAAATCGTCTATGTCCACATTTGTTTTTACCCGTAAATGCATATATGTGAATCAGAAATAATAAAATAAGTTGAAGTTTTGGTATTGTTTAGCATCTGAGAAAAATGTCAATATAAAATGCCTAACAATTATAGTACATTTCTAACTGTTATTAATTTTTGAGAAAATTCTTTTTGTACGAGCTTTTGTAAGAAGTGGCTACCTTTTTTCAAAGTGTGTACTGTCATCAGCTTTTTATTGACAGACATCCTAACCGCAACTGACAAAAAACAACGGGATTATTCTAATTGCTTATATTATTATAAATAGATACCCAGATGTCTTATACCCTCAAGAATATAATTACTTAATTGCATTGTATAACAGGATATTACATTTGTTTTTTGAAACAGGGTTGATTTTTGGCTAGTTACCTTGATCTAAAACAGTTTGGTAGTTAGTGAGTATGACCCTACACCAAAAACAAAAGAGACTTACATTACTTGAGCAACATCCTGGTACCTGAAAGAAATACTAAAAATGTACAACTAAGATACCTCGAGTCCTGCAAGAGTAAAAAATCGAAAAAGTTAGTGTAGTTTGAATTGCAAATAGGGCAGATGCAACAATATTGTTTTTTGCTGAAGAACTTTCAACTCCTGTCCGTTGATTAAAATCGGTGTTAAATAAAATAGAGCAACGCATATCTGTCACGATTTTGTTCATTCTTTTTCCACAAATCGTATTTCCTATTGTATGAAACATTAATTATGGATCCACCTCAGTCACCTCAATGAGTAGCATAGCAATTAACAACACGTATAATCAATATAGTTAATGATGCAATGTCCGCGCTGTCACTGTTTTCGTAATTTTCCACTTATACGCTGGTTGGTGAAATTATCTAACGAGAGATTTATAAATTCCTCAATTTAATATCGTGATGTTTTAAACTATATTTTCAAGTCCAAGTTTGATCCCACACAATTTTGGTATTCTAGTATCTCAATAATAACGGGTGATTTTTTTAAGAGGTATAGGATTTGATTTTAAAAAAAAACACAAAAAACTTGAAAAAACGATTAAATCTTTATTTGAGTCGATAGAACGGTCGATATAATTTAATGTTTAAAGATTATTTCATGTAAATGTTGGCCGCGGCTCCGCTTTAGATCCAACATATCGGCCAGTATCTCACAAATAAATGCTTCAATATTGGCTTCCAGTGCGTCAATCGTTGCTGGTTTATCCTTGAAGATATTAGCCTTAACATGGCCCCACAAGAAATAGTCCAACGCCATTAAATCACACGATCTAGGCGGCCAATTGACGGGCCCCAAACGTGAGATAAACTGTTCACCGAACTCGCCTCTCAATAGGGCCATTGTTTCGTGTGCGCTGTGGCATCTGGCACCGTCTTGTTGAAACCACATATCAGCCAAGTCCAGCTCTTCCATTTTCGGCAAAAATAAGTTTGTTATCATCGCACGGTAGCGCTCGCCATTCACAGTTACGTTCCGGCCATTGCCGTCTTTGAAGAAGTACGGCCCGATGATGCCACCGGCCCATAATCCACACCAAACAGTGATTTTTTCGGGATGCATTGGTAGCTCTTGCAATGCTTCTGGCTGGTCTTCACTCCAGATGCGGCAATTTTGCTTGTTAACGTACCCATTCAACCAGAAATGAGCTTCGTCGCTGAACACAATTTTTCGATAAAAATGTGGATCTTCCTCCAACTTTGCCAGCGCCCATTCACCAAATTGGAAACGTTGTGGGAGGTCGTGTGGCTTCAATTATTGCACCAGCTGTATCTTATAAGGTTTTGCACCCAAATCCTGTCGCAAAATTTTCCACGTAGTGGAGTAACAGAGGCCCAATTGCTGCGAACGGCGGCGAATCGACATTTCACGGTCATCACTAACACTGGCGGATACAGCCGCAATATTTTCTTCAGTCCTCACTCTACGTGTGCGTGTTGGTGGTTTAATGTCCAATAATATAAACTGGGTTCGAAATTTAGTCACAAGCTTCCGAATAGCTCCCTCAGTAGGCCGACCAAATTGCCCATAAATTGGAAGCAGTGCTCGATGCACTCTCTCAACCGAGCATAGTAAAATTCAATAATTTGCAAGCGTTGTTCTTTCATAAGTCGATTCATTGTTGAATTATAGAGCAAACTGAACAAGTTTCACAATGACACAAGACACGATTCACGCGTCATCTGTCAAAAACAGTGTTGCCAAAAATATACTAGCAAAAAAATCACCCACTATATGCTTGAAAAGTAGAGTATGTCGATTTCTTCGAAGTCATAGCGTTTATTTTTTTAATGTGTTCTGCTGTGCGCTGTGCTACTGCTATTGTGTAGTGCTTTCCAGTATTTATCAATTATATTCCAATATTTTGTTTTTAATGAAAGTGTTCGCAAGGAAAAATGGAGAATTATTAATGAGCTCCTTTTTTTGTGCAATAGCATTTCTTTTAAAGATCCTGTCATTAACCGATGATGTGTTGACTAAAGTTAATTTTTCACTTTCTTACGTTGCCAAAGCAACTGTTTTTGAGCACCTTGTCCAGATCAATGTAAAGGCAATGCCCCAGACCATTAGTTTGGAGTTTGTTTTTAGATTGCGCGAAAAGCTTTAGCTTTTTACAGCCAGCTGCCAGACACAAACGAAAAATAAATCACTTTTCTGCGTTGGAAAACGGTCTGTTATGAAACTTGTTTTCTCTGGTTTGGAGAACGGTATTATTGTCAG